AACAACAAGTTCTTATCTTACTGGATCTTTTAACTGCATTTAACACTTTTGTTAATACCCTTTCCCAGTGACTTCAGTGACACTGTATTCTGGTTCTCCTACTTCACTAACCTCTCTTTCTCTTGGCAAACTTCTCTTCCTCTATACAGCCAGAGTTCCAGTAGGAAACAGCTCACTCAAGTGAGATAATTTGAGGAGGGTCTATTTGTTGTTGTTATGTGTCATGGAGTCGGTTCCGACTCATAGCGACCCTGTACAGGGTTTCCGAGGCTGTAAATCTTCATGGGAGCAGAAAGCCTCATCTTTCTCTCACGGAACAGCTGGTAGTTTCAAACTGCTGAACTTGCGGTTCACAGCCCGATTCGTAACCACTATGCTACCAGAGCTCCTTTTATTTATTTAGAAAGGACTTAATTATAAAGGTGTAGGTAAGGTATTGAGGAACCTGGGGCTAACAGCATTTGAATGGTTCTGAAGGGACAAGAGGTAGAAGAAGTTACTGGAATCCAGATGGCAATAAGATTAGGTAAGATAGACTCCTTGACAGTTTGCTGAGGAACATCACCAACCCAAGGCAACCTCATAGGAAGGACCTAGGAGAATAGCCTTACCTCACTGTCCTTACTTACTTCCAGTCTGCTGGGGATTCATATTGGTAGAATGCACCTGGAAGCCAGAGGGCCTATTGATGTATATAACATGCAAGTTAGCCTTCTGAGCCAAAGAGCAGGGTGGAGAAAAGTGGAGAGATCAGGAAGGAGAAATCTAGATCTGTCGTCCTGACTACTCTGAGCTTTAGACCTATGTGTTTTGACTGATTTGTTGACATCTCTCTGGATATCTTGAAATTCGACTTGTCCAAAACATCATCTTCCCTCCTAAACTACCTTCTCCTCCAGTGTCCCCAATCTCAGTTGGTAGCACTTTCAGCCGGTTGTTGTTAGGTGCTGTCAGGTTGGTTCCAACTCTTAGTGACCCGACGTACAACAGAAAGCTTCCTGGTTCTGTGCCTTCCACACACTCATTGCTATGTTTGAGCTCGTTGTTGCAGCCGATGTGTCAATCCATCTTGCCGAGGGTCTTCCTCTTTTCACTGACCCTCTGCTTTATGATGTCCTTCTCCAGATGACATGTTCAAATTACGTGAGATGAAGTCTTGTCATCCTTCTAAGGAACAGTCTGGCTGTACATCTTCCAAGACAGATTTATTTGTTCTTCTTGTAATACAGGGTTGTTGTTAAGTGCAGTCCAGTCGATCCCGACTCAAAGCAACCCTGTATAGGGTTTCCAAGGAGCAGCTGGTGAGCTTGAATTGCTGACCTTGTAGTTCAAACGACTTTGCAGCCTGATGCATTAGCCCAGAGCGCCACTCCAGGACTCTAGTAATACATGATGCAACACCATAATTCAAAGGCACCAATTCTTCTTTGCTCTTCCTTATTCATTGTCCAGCTTTTGTATGCATATGAGGTCATTGAAAATACCCTGGTTTGGGGTTAGGCACACCTTCATCTTCAAAGTGACATCTTTGCTTTTTAACATTTTAAAGAGAGCTTTTGCAGCTGATTTGCCTAATCAGTGTGTTCTTTGATTTCCTGACTGCTGTTCCCATAACTATTGTTTGTTGATCCAAGTAAAATGAAATCCTTGACAACATCAGTCTTTCCTCCATTTATCGTGACATTGCCTATAGGTCCATTTGTGAGAACTTTTGTTTTATGCTGAGGTATAATCCATTTTGAAGCCTGTAGTTTTTGATCTTCATCAGTAAGTGCTTCGAGTCCTCTTCATTTTTAGTAAGCATAGTTGTGTCATCTGCATATCACAAATTGTTAATAAGTCTTCTTCCAATTCTGATTTATTCAGCATACAGATTGAATAAGTATGGTAAAAGGATACAACCCTGACACACACTTTTCCTGATTTTAAACCACGTAGTATCCCCTTATTCTGATTGAACAACTGCCTCTTGACCTATGTATATATAGGCTCTGCAGGAGCATAATTAACAGTTTTGAACCCCCCTTTCTTCGCAATGTTAATAATTTGCTATGATCTACCCAGTTGTATGGAGTCCTGGTGTGGCATTGTGGGCTAATGCATCAGACTGCAAAGTCGTTTGAACTACAAGGTCAGTGGTTCAAGCTCACCAGCTGCTCCTTGGAAACTCTGTACAGGATCACTATAGGTCAGAACCGACTTGACGACACTTAACAACAACAACAACCCAGTTGTATAGTCAGTGAAACACAGGTGAACATCTTTCTGGTATTCTCTGCTTTCAGCTAAAATCCATCTGATATCAGCAATGATACTCCTCATTCTACATCTTCTTTTGAGTCTGTCTTGAATTTCTGGCTTTTACCTGTTGATGTACTACTGCAACTGTTTGAAGTGTCTTTATTAACAAAATTTTACTTGCATATGATATTAATGATTTTGTTGTTGTTGTTGTTGTTGTTAGGTGTCATTGAGTCGGTACTGACTCATAGTAACCCTATGCAAACAGAACAAAACACTGCCCAATCCTGTGCCAACCTCACACTCATTGCTACACTTGAGCCCAATGATGCTGCCACTGTGCTAAGCCATCTTGTTAGGGGTCTTCCTCTTTTTCTCCAACCCTCTATTTTACCAAATATGATATCCTTCTCTAGTGACTGGTTCCTCCTGATAAGATGTCCAAAGTGTGAAAGATGAAGTCTGGCTGTCCTGGCTTCCAAGGAGTACTCTGGCTGTACTTCTAACACAGATCTGTTTGTTCTTTGGATAGCCCATGGTACTTTCAGTATTTTCCTCCAACACCATAACTCAAACGCATCAATTTTATGGTCTTCCTTATTCATTATCCAACTTTTGCATGCATATGGAGTTACTGAAAATATCATGGCTTGGATCAGGCGCACCTTAGTCCTCAAACTGACATCTTTGCTCTTTAACACTGTAAAGAGAACTTCTGCAGCAGATTTGCCCAGTGCAATGTCATTTGGCTTCTTGATTACTGCTTCCATGAGTGTTGATGGTTGATCCAAGCAAATTGAAGTTATTGACAACTTCAATCTTTTCTCCAATTATATGGATGTTATTTATTGATCTAGTGGTGAGGATATTTGTTTTCTTTACATTTAGATGCAACCCATACCACAGGCTGTGGTCTTTGATCTTCATCAATAAGTATTTTAAATCCTTTCAACAAGTAAGGTTGTATAGTCTGCATATCACAGGTTGTTAATGAGCCTTCCTCCAATCCTGATGCCACATTTTTCTTTATACAATCCAGTTTCTCTGATTATTTGCTCAGCATATAGATTGAATAAGTATGGTGAAAGAATACAGCCATGGCGCACACCTTTCCTAGTTTTAAACCATTCATTGTTCTCTTGTTCTGTCTGAACATCTGCCTCTTGGTCTGTGCACAGGTTCCTCAGGAGCACAATTAAGTATTCTGGAATACTCATACTTTGCAATGTTGTCCATAGCTTGTCATGATTCACACAATCGATAGCATTTGCATAGTCAATAAAGCACAAGTAAACATCTTTCTGGTATTCTCTACTTTGAACCAAGATCCATCTGACATCAGCAATGATGTCCCTCGTTTCACATCCTCTTCTGAAACTGGCTTGAACCTCTGGAAGTTCTTTGTCAATGTATGGTTATAGCTGTTCCTGTATTACCTTCAGTAAAACTTTACTCGCATGGGATATAACTGATATTATCTGATGATTTCTGCATTCTGTTGAGTCACCTCTCTTTGGAATGAGCACAAATACAGATCTCTTCCAGTCTTTGGCCAGGTAGTTGTATTCCAAATTTCTTGGCATAGATGAGTGAATGCTTCGAATGCCGCATCACTTTGTTGAAAGATTTTAATTTGTATTCTATCAATTCCCAGTGCCTTGTTCTTTGCCAATGACCTCAGTGTACCTTGGACTTCTTCCTTTAGTATCATTGGCTCTTGATCATTTGCTAGCTCTTGAAATGGTTGAACATCAACCACTTCTTTTTGGTACAGTGACTCTGTGTATTCCTTCCATCTTCTCTTGATGCTTTCCTCATCATCCAGAATTTTGCTCATAGAATCAATACCTCAAGTTGAGGTTTGAATCCTTTCTTCAGTTCCCTAAACTTGAGAAATGCTGAGTATGTTCTTCCCTTTTGGTTTTCCAACTCCAGGTCTTTGCACATTTTGTTACAATATTTGACTTTGTCTTCTTGAGCTGACCTTTGAAAATTTCTGTTCAGCCCTTGTACCTCCTCACTTCTTCCATTTGCTTTAGCATCTCTATGATGGAGAGCAAGTTTCAGAGTCTTTTCTGACATCCATTTTGGTCTTTTCCTTCTCTCTTGTCTTCTCTCAATGATCTTTTGCTTTCTTCCTGTATGATTTTCGTGATGTCATCCCTCAACTCTTCTGGTCTTTGGTCTTTAGTGTCTAATGCATCAAATCTACTCTTCAGATGATCTCTAAATTCAGTTGGATATAGTCAAGGTCATATTTTGGCCCTCTTGTTTCCCCTCCCTCCTATTTGCTTATTTCATAAATGCAAAACCATAACAGTATTTGCCCTTTTGCAATTGACTTACCTCACTCAGCAAAATGTAACTTGCCAGTTTGACCACTTCTCCCATCTTTTCCATATTCCCACTTACTTAGTTTGGCTATCATTTTCCTTACTAACCTCAGGTTGCACCTCAACTCACTGTTAATATTATGTAACTTTTAACAGCCCCTCCTTTTACAATCCATTTCCTATTTCTCTCCTTAAACCTCTTCCTCTTATCATTCTTCCATCCTTTTTAGTTATTGTATGCTCATTGTTCAGCATGTGCACCATAATCCAAAGTGTCTCTCTGCAACAGCATCCTGCCATTTCATCAGGTACCTAGGCTGTTTTTGAATAGTGTCAGAACCATGTCAAAACTCCATACTTTTAGGTATTAGCTTCATTTAAATATGATATGGCCACTTTACATGCTTCCCTTCTCTCATTTCAGATTGAGATGGGGACTGAGAACAAGGTGATTCCAAAGGAAGAAATTTCTGAAGAATATGAGCCACATGGGGCAATATTAGAAAAATTTCCAAAGGTGGTTTACCAGGGTCGTAAGTTTGGAGCAGCATGTGAAGAACACATGTTGGAGGGACATTTCAAAGAGTCCACAGAAGAAATTGTAGAGCAGATATCTCTTCAGGAGAGAGATTTTGCATCAGAGTCAATTATCTTTAAGAGATCACCCTCAAGTGAGGAAGACCAGGAGTATAATGAGAGTGGGAGAGCCTACAGTCCCAGCCCAAATCTGGTTACATATCAGGGAGAAACAGCAGTAGAGGGAGTTAGTACATTTGCTACCTCTGGTCAAAATTTCATAGAGAATTCCGAACCTAACAAAACACTGAGGAATCCTGTGGGAGAAAAGCCTCATACATGCAAAGAATGTGGGAAAGCCTTTAATCAGAACTCCCATCTTATCCAGCATATGAGAGTTCACAGTGGAGAGAAACCCTTTGAATGCAAAGAATGTGGAAAGACATTTGGAACTAACTCAAGCCTTCGAAGGCACTTGAGAATTCATGCTGGAGAAAAACCCTTTGCTTGTAATGAATGTGGAAAGGCCTTCATTCAGAGTTCACATCTTATCCATCATCACAGAATTCATACTGGCGAGAGACCATATAAATGTGAAGAATGTGGTAAAGCCTTCAGTCAGAATTCAGCCCTTATTCTACATCAGCGAATCCACACTGGAGAGAAACCATACGAATGTAATGAGTGTGGGAAGACCTTTAGGGTTAGCTCACAGCTTATTCAGCATCAGAGAATTCATACTGAAGAAAGATATCATGAATGTAATGAGTGTGGCAAAGCTTTTAAGCATAGTTCAGGTCTTATTAGACACCAGAAGATTCATACTGGGGAGAAACCATATCTATGTAACGAATGTGGGAAAGGCTTTGGTCAGAGTTCTGAACTTATCCGGCATCAAAGAATTCATACAGGGGATAAACCCTATGAATGTAATGAATGTGGGAAAACTTTTGGTCAGAACTCAGAAATTATTAGACATATTAGAATTCATACTGGTGAGAAACCCTATGTATGTAAGGAATGTGGGAAAGCCTTCAGGGGCAACTCAGAACTTCTGAGACATGAACGAATTCACACGGGAGAGAAACCTTATGAATGCTTTGAATGTGGAAAGGCTTTCAGACGGACCTCTCACCTTATTGTCCATCAGAGAATTCATACTGGAGAGAAACCCCATCAGTGTAATGAATGTGCCAGAACCTTTTGGGATAACTCTGAGCTGCTGCTCCATCAGAAAATCCATGTTGGAGAGAAACCTTATGAGTGTAATGAGTGTGAGAAAACATTCAGCCAGCATTCCCAACTTATCATACACCAGAGAGTTCACACCGGAGAGAAGCCTTATGAATGCCAGGAGTGTCAGAAGACATTTGGTCGAAGCTCTCACCTTCTCAGACATCAAAGTGTTCACTGCATGGAATGATCTGGAAAATAGGGAAGCTTTCTGTAGAAAAGCTTCACATTTAGTACTTTGTTCACAGTCTGCACCCCAGGTTCTCAGAACAAATGACTGGACAGACTCTCCTCTGTCCTTCCACTGATTTAGATCTAAATAGCTGGTCAAAAAGGATGAGACACTTTTACGAGCTATTCATTGGGAAGTTACAGTGTACTGAGTCAAGTCATAAAAGTTGTTTCAGGCCTTATTTCTCCTCTTTCCCTCTTTCATCCCCTCCCTCTTCCTTCCCCAGTGGATTACATAACTTTAGGGGTCTGTACCATACATCTAGCCTGAATTGTTACTTCTCAGGAAAAATGGGAGAATATAGATTCCACCACCTCCTAAGATTGACAGAATTGATTCATTGGATGTTAGCCCCTGAAGTGTTAGAAAGCCATTGCCTAGAAAACACATCTCATTCTTCTGTTCACATTTTAGCATTGGATAATTTAGTAAGCTATTATCAGCCTCAAAATCTTACAACCATACTATCAAGTTCCTTTAGAAGATGGCAGCATTAATGAATCAGGAATTTGGGCCAGGTTCTTTCATCCATTTGAAGAGAGTGCTATGATAGAGGAAACTGATAGGAAATTTACAGGATTATAAGTAATCAACATTATATATTGGATTATAAGTAAAGGCCCTTAAAATGCAGAGGGACTGATTAGAAAAGGCTAGGGGATATAAACGTGAAACCAGACTTCTCAGTAATGGGCAGCAGTTCTTTAGCAGCTGTCCCCACTTAAGGGTTGTTTAGACTGCCTGCTCCCAAGAACTCTGCTTTATTGACTTTTGCCCCCAGCTCTTGTCAATGCAGACAGATTCCATGTCAGGATGTAGCAGACTGGACTGGTTCATGGTGATGAACCCTTTTACCTGAGTGATCAGGGCCTGGCCTTACCAAAGCACTTAAGCTCTCATGACCTGGGCCCTGGTGCTGGGGGCCCTGATGATAGTCGAAGATATGACATTTGCCCCTTGACCTTGGAATTAATCTCCAGCATCTCCATATGACTTTTCTGTTTTCCTGTTATTTCTCCTTTGGGGAAACCAGGGCTTTGAACCAGTCCATTCTGGCTCAGCCACCTGCTGAGAATTTGCATTTCCACCTCAGATATAGTGAATCAGAATCTACATGATAATCCAGCTCTCCAGGTGATTCTTATGTACACAAAAATACAAATGGCAGAAGAATATGTATACATTAAAGTCACCTGGGGAGATGTAGGTTCTGATCCATCTGGGGTGGAAAGGCAAATTCTTAACAAGGGGTCAAATCAAAATGAACCTGGTTGTAGCCCTGGAGGAAACACATCCTTGCTTTTTCTGATGCCCTTGTGGGTAGTGGGAATTGGACTAAAGGATTCAATCAAGTAGGCCGAGGGTCTGGCCTTAGAGCTAATCTTGAATGAAGCACTTCACTTGTCTGTTCCCTAATTTTTTTTTCAACTTTATGATTTCTGACATTTCAACCTAACCAATAATTTCTTGATTTTTAAAAGAAATCTATGTCTTGTGTTCTGTAATCTCTTTATTACACTACTACTAATCACTAATAACTTACTGAGTGTGCCACACATTTATATACATTAGGTTTTTTCATGGCACTGCAGGAAATACACTGGGCCACAAGGTTGGTTTGAACCACAAAGTCTGTCATTCAAACTCACCAGCCACTCCTCAGAAACCCTTTACAGGGTCTCTATGAGTTGGAACCTACTTGACATCACTTAACATCAACTATGAAGGGGGCAGGGCACACCTTTAAACAGTTTATTGAGGTATAATTTATATACCATAAACTTCACCTATTTTAAGTATTCATTTGAATGATTTGTAGTTTACAGAATGCAACCATCAGTGATGTGGTGGTTGTTAAGTGCCATCAAGTGGGTTCTGACTCATAGTGACCCTGTATAGGGTGTCCAAGGAGTGGATGGTGGGTTTGAACAGCTGAGACCTTGTGGATAGTGGTCCAGTACTTATCTTAACAGTGCCACACTAGTGGTGGTGATGTTAAGTGCCATCGAGTTGGCTCCAACTTAGTGACCCTGCATAGGGCTTCTGAGAAGCGGTTACTTTAGTGAGCTTGAATCACTGACTTTGCAGTTCAAACCAACTTTGCAGTCCAGTGCATTAACCCGCAGCGCTACACCATTTAAAAAGCAAGACAACTGAAGCAGGAAAAGGGTGGGAGTAGTCTGTAACTTATCCATTATCACAGAACTGGTGCTAGAGTCAAGACTAGAACACTGGTCTATGCTCTTTGCTGTGGATAAGAGAATTTATTTCAAAGCTTAAGTGAAATGTATGTGTTTTAATTAGTTATAAATAAATATAACTAAATCCAGGTCATGTCTTGGAAACATAACTGGCTACATCTAAAATCTATAAAGTGGGTTTATTCTTTACCCAATATAGGTGTATCCCTAGGGTTATGGCCATGACTTGAAAAGTGTAGTTGAATACTATATTGCATCATCCCAGCCTCTGCCTCTAGCAGTCCCACTCTCAGCAGGAAGAGTTCTTTGAACTTTTCCTTATAAATGAGTGTTCTTGTTCCGTTCTTCATTGCTTAAATTTAAGTTGTGCCCACCATAGCCTTCTCACATCATGAAGCCTGGATGTCATGTATCCCTGTAACTTCTGGTTCCTGTGTTTGCATCTTTTATTTCTATGCTCACCCCTTGCCAACCCTGATGTCAAACAGCCCCTCCTCAAGTTCTCTGCAAAGAATCCACTCACAGACACAACCATGAGTAAGTGTTCTTGAAGATGCTGTGTAAGAGGTGGAGAAGGGGGTTCACATTGGCCATCCTATACACTTTATTCTCAGCAAGCCCTTGACCAAACCACTACTGAAAGTTTTCTCTTTTGTCCTCCCCATCACCTAGCTCAACCACCTTAGCTTTTTCTTCTTGTCAGATTTTAAAACCCATCACTGTGCTTAGCTAGACAAAAGACCCTTTAGCAAACACTGAAGGCAGTTTTGTGACATATTTGAGAAAAGAGGATGTCTCATATCACATATCCCAAGAAGACTCTTTCAACCTATATATAGCAATTCTGGTGAATGAAAATTTCCCCACCTTACTATATGCACGACAGACATACATCCTGGAACCTCATTCTTCCATCTCTCACCCCGTTATCTCAGATTTCCCTCCTGCTTGTCTCCTCCCTCTTTATTTTACTTGGGAGCAAAAATCTGATCATAATTGTGACTGATAGGCATAATTTTCTGCAAGTAAAGTTTTATCAGGGGAAAGAAAAATCCTGACATTAAAAAATTAGGCTCCACAATTTCAAAAGTTTTACTTGTTAAGTGCCGTCGAGTCGGTTGCGACCCATAGCGACCCTATATAGGAGTGTCTGGTGAGTTTGAACTGCCGACCTTGAGCTTCAAACCAACCTTCCAGTCCAGCGCATTAACCCGCAGCGCACACCAGGGCTCCTGCATACTCATAAGATTATATTTTTTCGTGAGAAACTAACAAATTAACGTAAAATATTCTAGGTCATCTGGGTGACTTTATGACCTTATTGCTGAGATTTAAGGGTTGATGCTTTTTGGTTCACGTTTGTTTATATTCTAGGTCAGAAATCTCTTGACAATCAGGAAGACTCTGACTAGTAAAATGTATAAGAGATTTCAGAGACAACACGAAACACACCCACGGCATTCTGTAGCCCTTCGCACGTTTCTTAAAGCAAATTTTAACGTTACCAAATAAACTCCCGCAAGAAACCCCTTCCATTGGCTGACAGCCTACCACGTGGCAGGATCAGTGTTACGTGCCGGACTACCAAGCCGAGGGAGTAAGAGCCTCTGTACGCCAATGAAAAGGGAAGTCATCCCGCGCCCACCTTTCCCCAAACTCTGAAAGCTGGGAAGGATGCCCGGAAGTGAGCAATGTAGTTTGAGGGTGGCAACGAACAGGCGAAATCCCCGGTGACCCAGGCATGAACCCCCAGCACCGGAACTCGTCCCTCCTTTCCGAAGCCCTGGTCGCCCCTCCCACGTCCCGTGGCAGCTACACCAATCTGTCTTGTAACACCAGCGGACAAGAATACTCATTTTTACTATTATCACACGCTTAGCACGTAGCACTTTCCTTTCGTGGACCCAACTTTGCCAACGTATGCCAGTTTCCAAAGAGCTAGTCAGCGCGCCCTGCAGCCAATGGGTCTCGGAGAGCGAGAGGTAGGAGCCCCACGATGAGAGGCAACCGATGCAGGCGGAAGCGTGTATGTCCTTGGGTCCGCTCTGGGAAGCCAGACAGACTCCTTGTTTGTGCTCCTTTCGCAGGCGCTGATCGCGTGAAAGTTTGCGAGTCTCTGGCCACCTCTGTGGTTCCGGGACGGAGCGCAGCGCGCGCTGATTGGTTGAGATCCTCGGTACCTTTTAGCCCATGACCAATAGGACCAGGAGGCTGAGCCTGGATGGGCGCTCTTTGTGGCATGAGCGCTCTTTGAGGCACTAGTTTAAGATACAGCCCCCCCCCCCCAACACACACACACCCCAATGTCCCAGAGTGGGGCGACAGCCTGCGACCAGTGCCTTTGCTCTCAGCCCAGTGTGAGTTGTAGTTTTGCCCTTGGTCTGCTGGTTGTGCCAGGTATTCCCTAAGATGGACTGAAGAGAAAGAGTTAAGGGGGAGGGTGGGTTGTTTTATCAGAACAGTCACTTTAATCCGTATTCCACTCTACTAAACCCTAAGTGTGTGGGTGGGAGTGGGGCGTGGGGGAAATCTCAAGAACACAGTGAATGCGAGAAAGACCTAGGAGAGCTTCATGCCTTAGTAAGTGTTCTTTAATATATGGACAGCAACCAATGGAAAACTAAAAATTAGCTGGGACTGAGAAAGTAAAAATATGCCCTGCCAGTTATCAAGTTGGGATAACTAACAGATTAGCTGCAGATTTAACAGGAAACAGTATTTCTCCCCAATGATATTCTGTAGCTTTAAAGAGCCTTAATGACTCTCTTCTTTGAGTGACTACTGCATTTGTCTCATTCACTGAGAAACCTCCTGAAAAATAAGTCTGAAATTTGGCTGCTTGAAATTCTGTAAAAATGAAACATACCATTCTTGCCTGAAGGATCTGACACAAAGCAGCAGCTTAGATTTCCATCACAGGTGCAAAATT